GTACTCGTTGGTGACAGCCATACAATCTTCGGGTGTACGCCTGAGGAATATTGGATGCGAAATGTCAAGCAAAACACCTTGGGCCGCTCGTCTCTATTCTTCTAATCATATTAGAGTCTACTCTATAGCTACTCTTTGTACTCGTTGGTAACTACCATGCAATCTTCGCGCGTGTACGCCTGTGGAATATTGGATGTTGAATGTCAGGCAAATGCCTCTGGCGCCGCGTCTATATTCTAGCCTTTGAAAGACCTATACTCGTTACTCTTTGTGGAAACCAGCGACATTAGGGAGGGCCTGCATGGGGGTAGTGACTGCGAATTACCACGGTGGAATTACGCAAAATGTTCGCGTTAAAGTTGTTACGTTGAAGTTTCAGAGCTGATTACGACTTTACGCTTTGCGGCTAATGTACTATACTAGTATATTACGAATTACGCTGATTTTTGGGGAGGCTGCCAACGGATTAAGGAGACTAAAAAGGCCTGGTTACGCCTTACAAAAAAAAGGGGAATGCAGGCCCCCATTAGGCTAGGGAGCCCGCGGAAACTACGGAGGATGGCACCAGGCTACTTTGTGCCTTTTGTGGCCGGGGATCATTCGACGCATTTACGATTGCGGAATATCTAATGTCGAATTTCAAGCGAAACGCTTTAAGCTCTGTCTGAAACCCTATTTTTCTGTTCTTTACATAAACTGTATATGTACTACTCTTTGTTTCATTTGCAGCTCAGGTACAACCTACTCGTGTACGTGTGCGGATATTGGATGTTAAATGTCATGCAAAACGCCTAAAGCTCTACGTATTCTTCTATTAACCTTTGTAAAATCCATACACATACTTGTTACTCTTGTTTCTTTCCCGACCAGTGAACGCTTATAACAAATTGGATGCCGAATGTCAAAAAAAAGCTTCGAGCGTCTCAAAACGGGATTCTTCTAATCATTGTAAAATATATTCAAATTACGACAGACCAACTGATGTGCTATAATTCGAAGTCGGTAGTTGAAGCCGTGGTCTATGACCGGCAAAGCGCTCTGGTCTGATAGACTTTGAGACGTCAAACTAGGTTCAACATCTTCTAACTAGTCTATGGCCGGATAACTCCCCTTGTCAGTTACATTCCTTTTTAGACCGATTTCTATTATTCATTCAGCCTGCAAATGAGTCTAATGGAGTCTACAATCTTCCACTCCTCCTAGATACAGGACGTAAAATCTGTATCTAAGGGCTATTGACCGGCAAAGCGCTCTGGGCTGACAGACACTGAGACGTCAAATAAAAGGCTTAACATCTTCAATCTTCCACTCCCTTTTGATGCAAGGCGTAGATAGAATCTATATTTAAAATTCTCTTACCGGCAACTGTCGTGATGCCGGCAGCCTAGATGACTTGTAACAATCCACTTCACAAAACCTTTATAGCACAATTATAGCTACCTTATTGTAGTCTCCGTCAGACTAACAACGCGCGTTCAAAAATAGTAAAAAAAACAAGCTCCTATTTCTTAAGCAGACACCGCCCGTAGGTAGCTAGAACCAGCCTGTGATACAAAACAGGCAACCGTTTTCCGTCAGTGACATCGCAATTTTGCATCACAGATATCAGTATGCTATAGGATAGGGTTGATTCAAGTTACTACATTAAAAGAATGACCAGAAAATTGACTCTGAAAATCCAGTTTTGTCGCCCTGAAATTGCACTGATGTCGTTAATGTACGATCGATGCCAACAACTTGTTTGTTGCCAGTGGGGTCATTGACCGGAAAACCTTGGGGTCATTGACCGGAAAACAGTTTGATTCTTCAATTCAGATACGCCAAACATCTGCTTGGATGTTATACAGGCATGCAAAATTATATTTGTCTTAGATGCGGACAGAGGAAGAATAGGAGGGACTCCAAGCTACTCCCGACCCAGCGCCAACCGTGGTTGGGGAGTGGTCGGGGTTTTTCCACAATAAATTCCCCTAAATAAAATACAGTCACGAACTAGAAAGGTAACATTTGCAAAGCAAAATGCATAATGTTTGCCTTCGCATATGGTCTGCTCTGTTAATTCTTACTCAAACACATTCACATACATGTACATGGTGACAGGAGTCTAAATCCCTCCTGCTAAAAGATTGCAACATGATGTAACCCAACACCAGTTACCATGGTAACAGACGCCTGATTCAGGTAATTGACCTTCTGTGTTTGGAACGGAAAAAGAGGAAACAGAGCAAAACCAGTAGCTTTCCTCAGGTAAATATAAGCACTTTACGAAAGGGTGGGCCTAGCAGTAACAGATATGGTAAACAGAATACAAGCAACAAGGTATCCTGGGGTCGGGAAATTCTATATCGGGTTCAGCCGCGTTCGGAAATTACTAATGAGAATAGGGGTGATCTGAGATTACTGGGTTCGGGTTGTAATGTATTTCTAATCAGGTCTTTGATCGGATTTCATAGATCACATGACACATCCTCTGGGCACTGTCTTCTGTCACATCTTCTTCAATGCAATAGGGCCACTGGTGTAACGTAACGCGTATGATGTGTATGTATAACGACGTGAATAGCATATATATGCCCTTACTCCCCAAACCTACGGTTGTTATAATTCAGTATGATGCGCATATACGTATATATGATGTTTATATATAGCAATATGAATATAAATTCATAGACATGGGACCGATAAAATCTGGTCCATGGGGACACTATAGACAATATTCTTAGTGATTGTGTCAATGGGAAAAAACAGCAAAAGGTGGTCACATTGGCCAGGTGGTCATTATGTAGGCCGGGGTAATTACTAGTACTAGTACGGGGTTGACTCTACATAATGGCTAAATGATCTATCATGTAGAGGTGGTCACTAGTAATACATGTTTGACTGTATACCATTGGTCAGGTGGCCCTTATGTAGAGGTGGACGCTGGTACAAGTTTGTCTATATATCAATGGCCAGGTGGTCCTAATGCACTGGTGGTCACTAGTACCGGTTTGTCAGTATATTAATGGTCAGTTGGTCCTTATGTACATGTAGGGGTGGGCCTAGGTTTGACTGTATTGTTGTATAGAACACACATGTTGAGTATACCGTACCTCAAACCTGTTGGAAGGTTGTCCAGTCGTCCCCGCCAAGTCGGCCTTCACAATGTCCATGTCCGTCTCCTCGTCTGTCCCTTCTTTGTTCCCGCTCAAACGGGCGAGAATCTTCAGGTCATTGACCTTCTTGTGCTGCGTGACGTCGCCCACCACGGCCACGGCCACCCTGGTGGAGGCACAGCCCATCCCGCGGCCTCCTGCTGCCTCACCGCCCGCGTCACCTCTGACGTCAACCGGCCCTGCAACCGGAGAGGGGCTTAAAAATCAGCGCCGGACGGAAAATGATCCTCGGGTACATTTAGGGCGGAAGTTTGATTAAGCCATTTTTCTGTCACTAATACCCTGAACACACAATGGCAGATGCACATGTGGGTTTTACGCTTCTAGCGTGAACAATTCGCACGCAAGGAATTATCAAAATGGTGGTAAGAAAAAGAGGTAAGGAAAACCCCCAATTCTGCCCCTCGCACATTGCCGAAGTGTGCATAATGAAATATTCCCCTGTCTGCGCGCTGACGCACGTTCTACGCACGCTCTCGCCTGCGGGTATTTCACGTTTCAAACCACGAATCGTGAATAACAGGAATCATATATCACAGCTAGAATTTGGCAAGTTGATATTCCTTTGTGCGAATATACAAGTCACCAAACGCTGACTTCAACCGAATGCTTTAGAGTTAGATTTGATTTATTAGGCTGTATAAAATGATAATTGGATGCCCAAATAAAATCTCTAGATGAATTCGACTGGTTGACATTATGAAAGATAAAGACCCTAATCCCACTAGGATAAAATTGTGCGGATTAAACTGAATTGATTCGCTTTGATCCGGCTTCAATCAATTCGGCTCGATCTGGACAATTTTTGCCTAGTGCGAAGGGGACCATAGTTTCGTGCGTACATATTCTGAAGCCAAGGATGTGACATTAATTATGAAAGATATCATGGATAACCCAATGGTACGGTAAAAATTTGGCAAGTTTCTATTAAGGATATTTCAGAACGTGAATAGTCCCTGAGTGAACTGTAGCGCCAAAGATATAACATTGCCTGACAGGAGTCATGAATCATAAGCAGGAAAATTGAGCAAATTGACATTAAGGATATATTTCAGGGGTGAACCCAAGCGACAGGAAAAGTTACGTAGCAGGATTCATGTGCGTGTTTAGGACTATTTATGATATTCAGGGAAAATTTGGCAAGTTGACGTTAAGGATATGATATTTCCGTACGTGAAGAGTCCAGGTGTGAACTCTGGTGCCGAGGAGTCATGGATTACGTCATGTTGCCGGAAAATATCGCCTAATAAGTTGACATTGTTACATCATCGTTTGCGACCTTACCACTGAGATAACTCACATACCAAAGCCTATTCACCCCCTACCTCAAGGTAAATTCCACACGTTTCATGTGTCGACGTCTGTGTCAAAATATTCAAAGCATTTTGACGCGGTGGGTGTCACCGTGGGACCAGGCTGGGCAGAATCAACCGCCAACAAGGATCTAAGGCCCTTTTCCTACTAGGAAAAACCGAATTGATTCGCTTTTATCCGGTTTTGATCCAGCTCGAAGCCGGATCAAAACGAATCAATTCGGCTCGATCCGGACAATTTTACCCTTGTGGGAATGGGGTCTAAGACAGCCTCTTCCGGACTAAGACAGCTACAATTTTGTACGACACAGGAACGACAGTCCCAAGAATGTTTGCCATCGTCAGACGATTGTACGACCTATATGATCGCGCCTACGCACGTTTTCGGTGATGTAAATATTTACATGCACATATTCCCGCATGTTATTAGCAGGCACATCTTTTAACAAATGTTATCATGTACAGATCACTCTAACCTGGAGTGTTGCATTATAAAGCAAACATAAGGAATATGACCACAAGTTTATCCCATCGATATCGGTAAATTGGCGCGTTTTAATTTGGTATAGCTTCCATTGCCTTCAAAAACAAAATACTAATTATATATTTTGTTTTGTTTTGTTTACAATAATACCATGATGTTTGAGTCAGTTCCTTTTATAGATAAAAAAAACATATGTATATACGCCGTAGCTCGTTGTATACAAAGCCTCGGAAAATATATACCCAGGTATATACGTAATTACTGAGGTCGTCTGATGTACCTGTAACTCACCTGTGTGACAGACGTGCGTCTCCTCTGATGTGTGCGGCACCTCAAAGTCTCAGGTGCGCCCGTTCCCTCCCCCACCTGTCCCGTGTACACCTGTACGGTGTGTCCTCTCCACCTGCCGGTAACGGATGAGTCTCACTCCGCCGAAAATCCGCCGCGATCCTCCCCAGCGCCGTGCTTAATCCCGCTGCACGCCGCCCGCTCGCTGATTCCGACTGGCGCGCGGTGAATATCGTATTAACGGTGGGAACTCGAGCTCCAAGGCAATCAGTGACTGAACACGCGAATGAAAAAGCCGATAGGCTGGCGGCCAGACCGTCTCAGTTTTCCCTGCAGCTCTACGGCGCAGTTCTCCCGGCTAGGGTCTGATTAGCGCACGCTGGGGTCTTTACGGGGTCCAGTTTCAATCAGTTCGCCAACAATGGAGGGCAATTAGTAGAAACGTCGGCTGAAAAGGTCTAGCATGTCATGCCTTATACATAGTAGGACGTAAATAGAACACCCCTTCGCCGGCGCCTGTGAAGAATTGGAACCAGGCTAGACCGTGGCCGGTAAGACACCCCTAAGTCGACCTCTGTAACATAGGAACCAGGCTAGAAGTAGACAGTAAAGCAACCCTAAACCGGCCCGTGGAGATGGAACCAGGCTAGAAAGCTGAAGGCCAATAATTTGATACTTGGCGTCTTAGGTTTACTTTCGGCCTCCTGCTATCATGAATGTCTTTGAGAAGTACTGCAAAAGACGCGCCATTGACGTCATCACTCACCAGTTATCAAGGCATGAGTCTGGTTAATTAGTGCCGCAGACGGGATCCACGTCAGAAGGTTTACTGAAACTACAGGATAACACGAGTATGATTCTGTACATTCAAGGAGCAAATTGTCTGATTAATTAGGAAACATAAAGTGACGCAAACGGAGACGGAGACGAATTTGTGTTACGGTAAGAAAAGAAAAGAAAAGAAAGGCTAAACCTGAAATCAGAAATTATCAAAACGAACGGACAAGAACCATATATCAGATTTCACTCTGATGTATGCACCATGTATGTGTACAGATATTCATTTATTACTTTAAATGATGTAAACTGTATCTTATATATATAATATATATACACGTTGTCTGGAATATTACCTCTTCCCTCGTGACCTCATTGAAAAGCGACCTGCAGGTAGATTTGAGCTTCTCATGAATAAAGAAACAAGATCAAACAAACGACCTCCAGCTAAGACGTGGGTTTCTCCGCATCTTTACTTTCACTTTCCGAGGATTAAGCGGGATTGCGTCAGAGCCGTCCTGGCATCCTGCTGAAATCCGGGCAGGTTTCGTCGCGATTTTTAAAAAGACAAGATGAAAGCCAGGAATACATCAAACGCGTCTCCATAACAAACCGACACCTGACTTTTAAGAATTATTTCTTAAGTCGGAAGATTTATAAAAGGAAGAATCTGGAGACAAGCAGGACGCAAAGTGGTATTATGACGTACTCTGTGTGCTAGTTGAACAAAACAACGGCGCGGCCTCGTCGTCGTTAGGCCGTCATAAGATTGTGATACCGCGCACAATTTTGAAACAAGCTGTGACAAAACCGACAGCCGACAAGACAGGTTTTCCCGTAAAAATACAGCAAATTTTCTGAGAGGGCTACGAGTAAGAGAGGGGGAAGATCAGGGAGGGCTACGAGTGGGGGAGGGGGAACAGCAGGGAGAGTTACGGGTGGGGGAGGGGGAACAGCAGGGAGAG